CTGACGTACACCCAGAAAATAGGAGTACGTCAGCGTGTATAATACACGGCAAGATCCCCCAAGGCAGGAACAAATACAATAACAGTATTGATAATATATGCGTGGTTAATGCGATAACAGAAATAGAAATAGAACATGTGATGATAGTAATAACGTTAGAGGCGTGCAACTAGAATACTAATAATCAAAAGAATCCAAAATTCAACCAAGTAACAAGACTATACAGGTAGCGATCAGAAACCATCCAAGCAACAATGTCATACAATAGATGGAATTAATACTTAAAAATCTACACATCGAGACGTAGTACGTCGAGCGAAATAATCCAAACAAGGAAACTCTCATGTATATACCATATGTCTCGAATTATAAATAATTAAATATTAATTCTGATCTATGTATGGAGAGAATACAACCGATCTACGTCTCACAAGAATCACACTTAGCCAAGAATCTAGGTCATGTAACTAGTCATCCTACAACAGGTCACTGGCTCATATTATCGAATAACTGATAGATAGCAATCACAAATATCCCAACTCCTCAGACCCACTCCGGTGACTACACAAACTTCACCGGCGCGAGCCCGAAATACACAAATATCTTAACTCATCAGACCCACCCCGGTGACTACACAAACTTCATCGGCACGAGCCCGAAATACAACCATAATCACAAACATCTCAACACCTCAGACTCACCCCGGTGACTACACAAACTTCACCAACGCGATCCTGGAAAATACATCAACAATCACAATCGTTCATATGGACCAAGACTTCTCACCCCAATTCTTATAATTCCAGGTCAACTACACACGAGATTCTAGATCCTAACTGTGTCATACAGGTCACTATAGTCATGTACTTCTCATGATTCTCAACATGAAATAATAAATGTCATTATGTTAAGTGTCAAAGTCATGAAGTGTGAACAGAGGACGTGATCACATGCAAGAAACATACGAGAGTAAAGCTACTATTAACAATGCAAGATGGAACTACCATTAACAGATGTTTTGCACACGAAAATCGAAATCTCAGTTATTAATTCCAAGAATAATTTCCTTTAAAATTATCTCTCATTATAAAAAATCTAAAATAATCTTTTTAAAATATATTTTATTATTATTTATGAACAGTAATACTTTAAATTTTATAAATGATTTCTATGATATTTTATAAAATAATCTAAAATATATTTTTTCTCAAAATAAAATTCCTTTAATCATAACAATTATTCAAAATACTTTTTACTCAAAATAACTTATTTTCACTAAATATGTTCCTTTAAAAAAATATTTTCATCATTATAATAAATACTAAAAATACATTCTTCTTCCAGATAGCCCGGAATTAATCGTAAATCAATTCTGACCTATCCAATCACCACGATTAATTTTTGTACTATAGAATATTCACCGAAAATATAACCGTTAACTACACGTATGATATTAAATTAGCACGGACTAAACTATACATATACAAAATAATTCATACGCTAAAAATAAATTAAAACAAGATAATGGCAAGAGGGATCTTGCCAGCGAGGCCAAGGGGCCTAATGACGAGACGGCGATGCCGCTGCAAATGGTTCTGGACTGAGGGGACAGCGGTTGGGCTGACGAGGGTGCCGACGCGGGTCTGGACAGCGAAGGGGAGGCACTGGAGGTTGGACAACAGCGACTAGGGGCTGCAAGGAGGAGCGGGGTGATCGTCGTCAGGACGACGGCGGGTGGTGCTGGTGGAGGTGGCGCGGGTCGAGCTCAGGCGAGAGCGGTGGAGGGGAGCGGCGTTGAGCGGAGGAGTGGTGGTTGGCTGTCGAGTTCGAGATGGAGGGAGGAGGTGATGGGCCTGGGCGGCGACGAGCGGCGACCAAGGCGGGGAGAGAGGCTGAGGAGAAGAGAGGGGACTGGGGGAGGAGGTTCTGCGGTTCAGGAGCTCGACGGCGACGTGGTTGTAGTTTGGGGAGGGTCGTTCGTCGGAGGCGGAGCGGCGTCGCTGAGCTCGAGGAGAGCTTGTCGGAGCTCGGCGAGGCGGCTTGGCGGAGTCGAAGCTCGGTGGTGGAGCGTTGGCGTTGGACTGCAGCTAGCGGAGGAGCGATGGTCGGAGCGGCGGGGGGGGGGGGGAATGGGAGAGCAGAGAGTACGGTGAGAGAGATTAATAAAGAAGAGAGAGAGTGTGATGGTGAGTGAATGAGTGAGTGAGAGTGGGACATCAACTTTTAATGAGAGGATAATAGAGAGAGTGTCAGAGAGAGAGAGATTGAGTGTGAGATTGGAAAGAGAGTAAGAACGGCCGAAGATTTTATTAAGAGAGAGAGAGAGAGTAAGTGATAGGGTGGTTGGGAGGATGTGGGTTGAGAGATGGGGGAAAACACGAGGCGGAGGGATTTGCGTGAATTAGGGAGAGATATACAGAGTGAACACCGGTGAGAGGAAAAACACAGGGAAAAATACCCCTTTAAATAATTTAAAAAATATCATAAATTTTATTTAAAATAAATATTAAAATTTATGGTTAAAATAATTCTTGACTCTCCTGGTTTGTTGTTGTCTCGTCTGGTTTGAGTCGAGTCTCGTCTCGTTCATCTGTTTAGTCGGCTCGTCATGCTTTTCAGTCGCCTCATCTCGTAGATCTCCTGTATCAACAATTTGTAATATTTTGTTTGTTTCAAGCTTAAATTGTAGCATTACCAAATGTTAAAATTTTGTAATATGATGAATATGCTATCTTGGTGAGGTTACCTACCATAAAAAGACAAAATTAAGATTTGTCAAAATCCTCGCCAATTGAGAGAATTTGGCAAAATCTAAAAATTGAGCACTTTTTGCACTTTTGGGATTCAATATTCTAAAAATTTTCTTAAAACAAACAACATATATGGAGTCCCATCACAAACTATGCTCCATCACAAACTATGCTCCAAAGTTCAGCTACACCAACTGAATTAAAAAAATGAAATCAATATCCCAATATAGGATGGTGATATCATCTAACTGAAGAATGATCTTAACAGGAATTTGCCAGAGTGGGCCTCTTGTAAAAAAAAATGCCCACTGTGAAGTATGTTAGTCAAAAATTCTTTCCCCTGTCGAGAAAATCATGAAAAAGATAGAGCTGATTATGCAGAGATATCCTGGAATGAAGAATACTGAATTCCAACTCTCAGGGCTCGAGAGATCCACATTGGCAGCCTTAGCAGAATCAAGAATCTTTCCTGTAAGACTAACACCTACTATACCAGCCAATGTCCCTGTGGCAGCCTTAGCAGAATCAAGAATCTTTCCTGTAAGACTAACACCTACTATACCAGCCAATGTCCCTGGTGTATTAGAAACTCCCATTTTGATAGCTTTGATAATTTTCACTATGAATCCGTATTTCTTTTATTAGTTATTTCACTATGGATGCATCTGATGCGTTTATACTCATTTCTGTTAAACTCGTATCAATTTATTTCATGCATGATCTACTCCTGCCAAGTTTTGCATAACTTAAACTTTTTACTCTCTTTTGAAATTCTTATAGGGATGAAGATCTTCTTTGCCATGGAATTTGCATAACTTAAACTTTTTACTCTCTTTTGAAATTCTTATAGGGATGAAGATCTTCTTTGCCATGGACTTGCATTAAATGATGATTTGCAGCATGTCAAATTCTTATAGGGATGAAGATCTTCTTTGCCATGGACTTGCATTAAATGATGATTTGCAGCATGTCCTAGCCAAAACGATGCCTTAATGCAGGTGTTGCTGTTCATATGCAAAAAACAAAGTCTCTTCAGGCACTTAATGCAGATATTCCTCCTCTTCATGGACAAGCACTCTACAAGTCATATTGCTCAAGAATTCGGGAGGCTTGTCAATCTTTGACGCCATTAGTACCTTTGTCATCAAAAATTTGTAATTAATGATACAAATTTGAGATTGTTGTTTCTAGTTTTCTTGATGTAATCTGTTTTTGAGAGAATTGTTGTTTCTAGTTTTCTTGATGTAATCTGTTTTTGAGAGACTTTATGTACTTGGGTATGCAAGAGGAAGTTTGTAAATTAACGCTTTTAGCGCTCAAGGGGAAATGGAAAAATAGACTTTTATGTTGATGTGAATGGGAGCAAATTTTTTTTGGATGTTCAGATTCAGTGTAGGTTTGTATTTGATAGAAAATATATTACTTTTGGCGATGCAAATTAGTGTCGATAAGCGTCAGTAAAAGTAACACTTTTGTCAACGCTATATTTCGTCGCTAAATGTAACACTTTTGCCGACGATATATTTTGTCACCAAAAGTAATATCTTTTAGCGACGCAATCTTGCGTCGCCAAAGATGTAGTTTTTAGCGACGCTCTATTCTGCGTCGCTAAAAGCTGCACTTTTGCCGACGCAATCATGCGTCGCCAAAGATAAGCTTTTTAGCGACGCTATATTCTGCGTCGGCAAAAGTATACTTTTGCCGACACATTGCCCTTTGCCGACGTTAAGTACGTCGCCAAAAGTGCAAGCTTTCCCGACGTTGTCCCGCATATGGAAAAAATACTGCATGCTTTTGCCGACGCAAAAAGTTATGCGTCGCTAAAAGATGTACTTTTCCCGACGCATGTCGCGTCGCCAAAAGTGTTTACTTTTGGCGACGCAGTGTGTTTGCGTCGTCAAATACTTTCCTTGACGCACTTTTGGCGACGCGTTAGCGACGCTGTATTTTGCGTCGGGAAATATTTTTCCCGACGTTTTTTAAACATTTGCCGACGTTTTTGTTTCGTCGGCAATGTTGTATTTTGTTGTAGTGCAAATACAAAAACTCACTTTTTGATACTAAAACTTGTATTCCATACCAAAAAACTTCGGCCGCTCTCAAAAACTAGATTGACCCCTGATCCTCTGCTTGACCTAACAAAGCTCCGCTCTAAAAGTGTTAATTGATCTCTGATCACGCCTCAAGACCACTGCTTTCCAGATCTTTGGGCGTCTATCCAATCAAGTCGTGCAATATCGTGGTTGCGTGTCTTCCCCTTTCCGATTTATGGCAATTGCATGCGCTGATCACCTCACTCCACAAAGGTATTATGCACTTTCTTATTATTGTGATTAAGTTATTTATTGAATTTGTAAAAAATCCCCAATCTGATTTCTTATTAATGTGACCGTGGAAGTTTTTTTTGCTTTGAATAAAGTTCAACGGATATATGCAATTAAGTATGATGTTTATATTGATCGTATTTTAGTAGATTATATTGATCTTATTTTAATAGATTATATTGATCTTATTTGTCGTCTTTACTTTTTTAGTTTTCCATCATATTAATGTTTCGCCCTTTGTTTCTTTTTATTCTGATATTTTCAATTGTCCTCAATTTTGAATGATTAACTATTCATTGAATGATCACAGCTTAGCTTTAATTTATAGACACTGGACAATTTCAAAGGTAATCTAGCTTTATGCTGTTTGTTTATTTCACTCGGTTTAACATTTATGGAGTAAGTTTTCACTATTTTAATTTATTTTGAAACAGGCTACGAGACTTGAAGCAATCAGGTAAACTTCATTTAATCTAACATTGGTTTCTGTATGTTACTTTTGATATTTCAACATAACTTGTAACAGGCTCGATGTAATCATACTAGAGGTATTGTTTTATGTGAATAATTTTCCTATCAACCTCCCACGCCCACCATTTTCTTGGTATATATCAGCATGAAAATAAAGTATCTGCCTTATAGAAGTAGTTATCACTTATAAAGAAAGAAGAAACATAAGAGTCTGGTTAAAAATTCTAACTTTGACAATGGCTAAAAGACATGTTTATGGCTCCAATTGATGTGCTAGCATGACCATTTTTGACACGCTTCTCTGAAAGGTTCTAGCCTTCTTGGTTGATCCCTTTCATTGTTATCGTGGATAAAAGTCTAGCTAGAGCCATTAATAACTCATATAAGGGCTTTGACGTCAATTTATGTGTCGTCAGTAGAAGTAAGTTGATGTTGCCCTTTGCTTCAGTTTCCACATAGTACCGGAATTTTTTATGTACTACTCACCTAAACTATTCCTTTTAATAGAATTACTTATTTAGTTATTTTCTTTGTTATCCGTTTAACTGTAGATTTCTACACAGCAAAAAAGAGAAACATTTTCTATACGACATTGTTGCCAATGGTCGCACTGGGTTAGATAAATTTGACATTGTTGATGGATCAAGGAGAAATATGAAAGCCTGTACAAGGGCATTGGCAAAAAAGATGATATATCTGTCTTTTGTGCTCTATATGAAAGCGATGATGATGGATCCCGGAGTGTGTTCGCAAGATAAGCGTCATACAAAAGTGAAGATCGGCGGGCATGTTTGTGTTGTATTTTCCCAAGACTACACAAGATTTCGCAGTTGTCTACTAAAAGTTTGTGACCTTTTACTTCAAGCATTAATAAGTATTTTATTTCTTTTCTAATTTTCAGGAGGATATAAGAAGTGGAAAAGGTAGTGCACTTCAACTGAATGATCTGCTGCGTGGGCTTAGTCCATCTGACTATGTTCTTCATGCAATTTCCAATGTTCAGACAAATGATCTGGAGCGGACCCTACTGGTATGTAACTAAGTAGATCTTTTTACTGAATGTCATGGTTTGATTTTATCAATTAGTAAGCATAATGTTATCTCACTACTATAGAGGATCGAAATACATCAGCATGATTGTCTATTGTTTTATGATGAATATTTTATTCTAGTATTTTACACTCCACATCTAATTTGCGAGCTTGTCTCTTGCTAGAATTGTGAACAAAATTACCAGGAGATTTTCTGTAGATCACGTTTACGTATATATGTGAAAACTAAAAAGTTTGCTTTTTAGCTATCATTTATTTTTGTACTTCCCTTTATTTTCTGTGTACGTGTGTCTGTTTGTATCTGTGTAGCTGAAATACACGCTTGTTTGAATGTATGTTCCCCCCCTCTTTTTGTGTATAGACCTGTGTGTCGGTGTGTGTTAGTGAATTGGTGTTAATGAATTGGGTGATAAGTGATAGATATCAAGGTATCTTTTTGCACACATATACAGTATGATGTACTCAGACGTGCACCTCTTACATTTTTTTTCCTTAAATCAAAAATCAAATAAAATGTATATTTCACTGTGATTAATCTATTCTGTATTGTGCTTTTGTAATTACTAGAGCTGTTGCTGTACATTTCCCTTTATTAAGACTTGCTCTGAAGGAGTGAATGGAGGACTGAAACTGTTGTAAAGGCATCAGGCCTCTCTTTATTTTGACAGTGAGTTAAAGACCTTAAATTTGTCAAAACCTATGTTGCCTTGCTTCGGGATAGTATACCCCAGAATCGAACTCTGGTGTCTTTTTCAATCGGTAAAAGACTAAACCGGCGATTTTAGTTCCTCACTAAAGATGATCATGATTTGGTCTCCTAACTAGTTATTTTATTGGCGAGGAAATATTAGATTTTGGTGATAAACTTTTTTTATCACGAAATGCACATTTAACGAGGAAATAATCATTTCATCGTTGTTCTTTTGGTAGAAAATGGAGGAAAACCCGCCAAATGTAATAGCGATAAAGTAGATTTCCTCGCTAAAGATACATGATTTGCGAGGAACCGTTTCCTCGTGAAAAGAATCAATTAGCGAGGAAATAATAGTTTCCTCATTATTAGTTTGGCGGGAAAAAAATCAGCCAATTTTAAGCTGACAAATTTAAGGCTTCATCGCTAAAAGTTTTTGTTTTTACGAGGAACCGTTTCCTCATTAAAAAAAACTTATTAGTGAGGAAATTATAATTTCCTCACTATTAATTTGGCGGAAAAATTTGCAACACCCGCCAAATTCATTAACGACAAATTAAAGGTTTCCTCGCTAAAATTTTTGTTTTACGAGGAAATAATAGTTTTCTTATTATTAGTTTGGCAGAAAAATGTGCAAAACTCGCCAATTTCAATAGCAACAAATTTAAAGCTTCCTCACTAAAAGTTTTTGTTTTACGAGGAACCGTTTTATCGTAAAAAAGAACCTATTAGCGAGGAAATTATAGTTTCCTCATTATTAATTTGGCTGAAAAATGTGCAACACCCGCCAAATTCATTGACGACAAATTGAAGGTTTCCTCACTAAATTTTTTTTGTTTTACTAGGAACCCTTTCCTCGATAAAAGAATCAATTAGTGAGGAAATAAAAGTTTCCTCGTTATTAGTTTGGCGGGAAATTATTTTAGCCTACACGCAAAACAGAGGAAATTTCCCCCCATTTATTTTCGCGAAAATTGAACAAACAAAACAAAAACCCCAAATCCGCCACGTTCTCTCTCTCACACACACA